TATAAGCTGGTGTAGCAGCTGCATCTGTCATTTGAAAAAACCCTAGCTATTCTTGAACACGCTTTGGATTCCCTTGCACTCGCCTCGAGCCCAGAGCCAAACGGCTCTCTTCTGTCCATTCCCATCCCCTGTGCAGAAGGATAATAATATTATTTGTTGTAAACCCCGAAGCCCTTTGTTCTCTCTAGAAAAATGAGAGACATCTCTCACTACTCTCATTTCAAACCTCCACACGTCTTCAACTTTGTCAGAGATCTGAAAAGCCGAGATTGTGTCTGAAGAGTGTTGACGAAATTTACGCAGGAAAATCCGGCTTTTAAGATTTGAAGAGTGGTGTCTCTTCAATTTGAATCGGTGGTTGTGTCACAAAGTCTTTATAGAGGTGATCGATCACCTCTAACATGCACACTTTGAAGATTGGCCATCCGTGAAAATCGTCTCCGGCCCTTTGAGATTTTACTCCATCCAACCCTTCTCTTTTAACATCTTTGAAAATGGCTAACCCATCTAACATTTGCTTAGATTTGAGTCTCAGCAGTGATCCGGTTGCGCCGCGTCAAGGTAATGTATGGTGCCCGTCTTTCTTATCTTCTAATGGCCCTCTTACAGGTGAAGACTCCGTGATGACGGATGCAACAACAGCTACGATAGTAGCTAGGAACCTCCTCACTCCTAAAGACAGTAGGCTGCTTTCAGGACGGTCCGATGAGTTGGCCGTTCAAGAGTCCCTAGCTCTCAGTGTTCAGTGTGCGGGCTCTGTTTCCAACATGGGCCAACGCCTACTTGCTCGATCCCGTCAGGTTGAATCATTGATGGCGGAGGTGGAGAATCTCAAGCAAGAGATCAAACAACTTAAGCACGAGAATAGAAGTTTGCACGTGCTTGCAAATAATTATTCGACAGGCATGAAGAGGAAGCTTGATGAGATGCAAGAATCTCAAGGTTGAATTCAAAGTGACCGTCAAAGGCTTGCGACTTTCTTCCAGAGACACCTTTTTCCTGCGTCATCTAGCGTTCCACCAATTCCAGAGGCACCTCTTGCTCCGATGCCTCCCGCTCCGATGCCTCTTGCTCCTAGAGTTTTGCCACGTAGTGGGGCTTCACGTAAACAAAAACAACCTTTGTGAAGGCTCCATCTTTCTCTCTTTTTTTTTTTTTTTTTTTTTTTTTTTGGAACTTGTAATTTCTCGGAGATCAATGAACATGCTTTGTTTTATTTGTACCCGTTTTGCTTATAAGTACAAAATAAATAAATTAAAATCTACTCAGTAAATACATATATGAAAACAATGAATTGATTCGATCGTCAATTTAAAACATTTACACAAGTGGATACCACAAAAGAAAAAGGCAATGCAAGAACCCCAAAAGAAAAGCAAAAGGCCAAAACCAAAAAAAAAAAAAAAAAAGGGACTTTGCGTGACGTAGGTACATTTACGTCGCGCAAACCTGTTTTGCGCGACGCAGTTGTACATACGTCGCGCAAAGTCTTTTTTTTTTTTTTTTTTTTTTTAAAAAACCGTTTTGCTTATAAGTACAAAATAAATAAATTAAAATTTACATTGTAAATGCATATACCATTGAATTTGATAGGAAATGCATTGTACGAAACTAATTTCAACGATCCAACCATCAAACTTGTTTGTATATACTTGGAGATCTTATATGTCAAAAATCGAAAAAAACAAACATGCACAGATTAAGTAACGGGACAAACCTTTTCGACGGCTATAAACGAAAAATCACGATTTAACGGTTATATTAACTCTGATTTTGATGATTTTTTACAGCTATACTGTTTAACCCTATATGAATACAATGAACAGATTCGATCGTCAATTTAAAAAATTTACACAAGTGGATACCACCAAATAGTATATTATACTTAATGGAAGTATAAATAAACTCTAAGTGTTAGTGAATCTAATGTTTTGATGGGATACGCATTGTACGAAACTAGTTTCAACGATCCAACCATCAAACTTGTTCGTATATGCTTTGAGATCGCATACGCCAAAAATTGTAAAAAACAAACGTGCAAAGATCAAACAACGGGACAAACCTTTTCGACGGCTATAAACGAAAAATCACGATTTAACGGTTATATTAACTCCGATTTTGATGATTTTTTACAACTACACTCCTTGATCTTGTATGAATGCAAGAAACTCATTTGATCGTCGATTTCAAATATTTACACAAGTGGATACCACAAAATCTTATGTTATACTTGATGAAAGCATAAATATACTCCAAGTGTTAGTGAATCTAATGTTTTGACGGGATACGCATTGTACGAAACTAGTTTCAACGATCCAACCGTCAAACTTGTTTGTATATGTTTTGAGATCGCATACGCCAAAAATCGCAAAAAAAAAAAAAACTTGTAGAGATCAAATTTTGATGATTTTTTTTACAGGTACACTCCTTAAGCCTACGTCACGCAAAGTTGGAAAAATAAGGGTAAAGTATTCTTTGTTTGGTGCCAAGATCTTGCGCGACGGAACTTTGCGCGACTAAGGCTAACGTTGCGCAAAATACCTTTGCGCGGCACAGGAGCTAATGCGTCGTGTAAAGCTGTTTTGCGCGATGCTACTCTTTGTTGCGCAAAGTTTCGTCGCGCAAAGTCCTTTTGCGCGACGTTTTGTGTTTTTGGTCGCGCAAACATACTTTGCGCAACGAAATGTTATGCGTCGCGCAAAATTCGGTCGCACAAACATGTTTTTCTACTAGTGACTCAAACAATATAATAATAATAATATCGGCTCAACGGGAAGACCAATAAAATTCAAGCAAATTTTAGACTAGAATTTCCACAATTTTAGGTAGACAAACATTAACATTAACAGGAAGGTAATTTATTTTCCCAAATCTAAATCACTTTTATTTTTGGATGAGTTGTGTTAAAACATACAATGACAATTGATGTAATTTATTTTAAAAACATGGACACTTGCTGACGTCTACTTACTGAACTCCACTTATAAGAACGTAATAGTAATGGATTCCATTCAAAATAGGCATATAAAATTGGACCCATATTTAAAAACCCCCTGTGTGGTAACTTCAAATTAAGTCGGAAGTATAGTTTCTTTTAGTCCTTTTTTTGTTTTCAAATTTTATGAAAATGGTATTTCTTATGTTCAAAATAGCTTAATATAAAGTGAATTGCTCTGTCCGGAGTTTGCACAATTGCACTGTTGGCACTTGAGTAGGAGATATGTGTCTCATTCATGCTTTGCAACTAGCTCTGGAACAATGTTGCAAATAAACGGCAATAATTGACACTGAAATTTCCTGATGCTGCTAAGTGCTTTCGGATCTTCTCTTGTGCTAGGGATTAGTTTCCTCTGTGATTAGTGCTAGGACTAATATCCTGATGCTGCTTTGTAATTGTATCTTTCATGACTCCTAATCCTAAACCCTATATGGCATTTGATGCATATGCAATGTAAGTGGTTTAGAATATTGCTTGCACCCGTTATCAAACTTTTTTTCTTTTCGATAGTACATGAAATTTGAACTTCTAACAATGTGGATTCCATGACATGAAAAGCTAGAGGTACAGGAGATTGGTAAATTTGCGGATTTTTCTTTTCAAACAAGGCCACTATTACCAATGACAAGCTCAGCTTGAGAAGGTAAGAGGCTGAGAGATTGTAAAGGAGGCAGAGAGGTACAAACCTGAAGGTGAGGAGGTTAAAACCAAGTTGGATGCCAAGAACTCACTCGCTCAAGAACTACACCTACAGCATGAGGAACACCGTGAAGGATGAGAAGGTTGCCGGGATATTGGACCCTGCAGACAAGCAGAAGATTGAGCTATTGACGAGACAGTTCGAGACGTTCCAACTATATTGTGATTTAGGGTTCTGGCTAATTGTAAAGTTCCAACAATCACTGTATCAGTTTTTGTTTGAATTGTCAGTGAAAATGAGCACTAGTCCTCCAATGTATCACTGTATCAAGGTATCACCGGTGAGAATGCTTCTTCGAACCTTGCTGTCTCATTTGATGCAGAAGTAAATACAAATTTTGGGTTGTGTCGATCTTCTAAGGCAGTACTCATGAATTGAAGCAACCCGCAGGGCAACAATTGACAACTAGAGTTGCATATGACAAACAATCACCGGAAGAAGCTACCTTGGGCCTTTTACAGCTGAAGTAATAGGCTTGACGACTCCACTCCCCAATGCAGAAACGATTTATGCAGCAAGAAGAGCAACGCTACTAGTGATCTTATTGTTGGATTGTTGACTTGATTGTCTCCCAATTTCATCCAATTATAGTATGTTTTATGTTAGACATGTTTGCTGATCTTATTGTAATTGTAAGCACACGGGCGCGAGCAATGTTTGTTCAAATTTTACAATTTGTAGTGAAATAAAAATCTTTTTACCCACTTGCTTAATTGTATTACCCTGCTTTGATGGCTTGTCTACGTTTACTCCAAACTGGTTTGAGGTGCCTTGCATCTCAAGTTAGTTTTACTTTCTTTCTCCCAAAACCTGCTTATGCTTTATGCTTAAACGTCATGTGGTAACTAATTAAGCGCACGGATTGTGAACTCTTATAATCCGGAGATCAAAATGTTTAAGCCTTGTATTCACAGACGATTAATTAAAGACAAGAAAATATTCGTTTTGTGTAAATTAAAAGGAAAATCTATTAGCAAGTTGTGTTTAAGAGAGCAGCTCCATTATTTTGTCATCAAATTAACAAATTTTAGAGTAAACTTACGGGAAAATCAGACTCAGATAATTCATAATTTCATACATATGTAATCATCGGAAACAAAACAGACTAAAGCCGACAGAATTTGTATACGTACAGATGTTCAAAACCAAGTTGTACTGGTAGTGGAAAATTACACAGAACTATTACAATATCTCTTATACAATTGGTGGCACGAACTGATCTTCCAAAAAACAACTATCCAAGCAGCTGTTGCCGTAAAATGATTGGTCGAGCGCATTCTCGTAGGCATTTGGATGATAAGCTTATTGTACTCCTCCATCTGCAGCAATCCATTCGTTGTAGAAACTTGGATTCAAAGGTTCCTCTTCATGGGTTTCAAGCAAATATTTCTCTAATAAACTTGGATCCCAAGCATTCTCTTCTACAGCTCCACGTGCAGCAATTCCAGAATCTGCTGGCTGAGGTAATTCTTTATCATCATCACTTTTGATCTCTTCGTTTGCGCGCATCTTCTTATTCCTCTCGTTCGAAGTGGTCACTTGATCCTCTGATGATGATGAAGTCGGACAATTTCTCTTGTTAATGCCGTTCTTCTTCAAAGCGGTGACTTGATCATCCTCTGATGATGATGATGTCGGGCACTTTCTCTTGTTAATGTCGGACGTCTTCCTCAATCGACAAAGCACGTAATCAAAATCGTAACTTGTATGGCTCTTGCGCTTCCTTGGGGCCGCAAAGAGACTGTATTCGTCTAGTAACCACGCGCCATGGTCCTCCGAGCCTTCATTCTTGTAGCAGAAGGTTCTTTTTAGTCCAATAGAGGTAGATGTCGCGTCAGTCCCCTCAACCCATGCGGGGACTGCCTTGCCGTCCCATTTACCTCCGTATCTTCCCATCTTCCGAACGATTTTCGAACCATTGGGGGTTTTTTTCATGAGCTCAGAGAAGAAATACAAGGCGGGTTGATCCGGAGCAGCAAGTTGAAGTGCTCCTCCTCCTCCAAAGGCCTCCCAAATCTCAGAGGGTTCTGAGTGGTTGCCAAAGAGGTTGCACTTGTGCATGAAGGTGTGGTGCGGCGGCGGGGGCAGTAGCCGCGGGGTCTCCACCAAGAAGTAGCGGAGGAAGCGACCGATGAGTTCCTTATCGGTGGGTTTGAAGCGGAAACAACTCGGTACAAGGGAATGATTGATCTCCATTAACAACACACGAGAAGATGAAGTGCAGTAGCCGATAGAGTGGTGAACTAGGTTTCTGTGCGTTGTTGTTGATGAGACAGACAAAAGTAAGAGAGCAAAGAGTGAGTGGTATTATTTATAGATATAGAGAGGGGGAGTGCCAATGGGGCGGTGAGGGTATTGGTTTAGGGTTAATTATTTGCTTGGAGGGTAAGTAAGAAATAGAAACCCTAAATTAGCCTGTCCTGATTGTATTAGGAAATAGAGAAATCTCACTTTTAGTAGGAATCCGACTCTCTTCATTTATGTTAAGTTTCATAGCGGTTGATCATTTTAACCACGTCCTTAATTTGGAAACAATTAAAACCAAATTTTTCTTTGCTTTTCGTTTTTTTGCCATTATTATTTTTTGATTCCAAAAAAATTGAAACAAAAAAAAATGCAGACACTCGCTATATTGGAAAGAAAAAAAAAGGAATAATTAATTTAATATTAGTCCACTTTTGTACCCTAGTATTTGGATTAGCCCGCTTTTTAGTTATTTTATAATTAGGTCCAATGATTGTAATTCCACATCATTGTCGTTCCTATTTTTTGGATCATTTTTTATCATCCCAATGTTACCCGTGATCTTAATTAGCATTACTGATAATAATCCTTAATATTAGTCCACTTTTATACCCTAGTATCAGGATAAGTTTATGATAATCCTTAATTTTAAAAGATAATTCTCCTAAATTATTTTAGCTTATTAAACCATATGCACGTTGACCTTCTCCTCTTTCTTAAATCCTCGTCGTTTTCCTCCTATTCTTTAGGTACATGTCCATTATTTGGAGTACCAGAATAATAGATACTCAAACAATATAATAATAATATCGGCTCAACGGGAAGACCAATAAAATTCAAGCAAATTTTAGACTAGAATTTCCACTATTTCAGGTAGACAAACATTAACATTAACAGAAAGGTAATTTATTTTCCCAAATCTAAATCACTTTAATTTTTGATGAGTTGTGTTAAAACATACAATGACAATTGATGTAATTTATTTTAAAAACATGGACACTTTAGTTACTGACGTCTACTTACAGGATCCTACTTATAAGAATGTAATACTAGTGGATTCTATTCAAAATAGGCATATAAAATTGGATCCATATTTAAAAACGCCTTTGTATGATAACTTCAAATTAAGTCGGAAGTATAGTTTCTTTTAGTCCATTTTTTTGTTTTCAAATTTTATGAAAATGGTATTTCTTATGTTCAAAATAGCTTAATTAATATGATCATAAAGTGAATTGCACTGTTGGTACTTGAGTAGGAGATATGTGTCTCATTCATGCTTTGCAACTAGCTCTGGAACAATGTTGCAAATAAACGGCAATAATTGGCACTGAAATTTCCTGATGCTGCTTAGTGCATTCGGATCTTCTCTTGTGCTAGGGATTAGTTTCCTCGAGTGATTAGTGCTTGGACTAATATCCTGATGCTGCTTTGTAATTGTATCTTTCATGACTCCAAATCCTATATGGCATTTGATGTGTTGGGTGCGAGAGCACAATGGAAAAGTGCCCATGCGAACGCTATGGTCTCACAACTAACGTGTTGCTCTCCAGGTCTCTTCGTTTCTTTTCTTTCCCTCTAAAATTAATTAATTCTTTTTAATTTTGATGAATAGCCAATTATTTGTTGGATTTTTGGTAAGGAGGTTAAGACCAAGTTGGATTTTTGCTGAGAGACTGTACAAGAGACAGAGAGGTACAAACCTGAAGGTGAGGAGGTTAAGAACATGTTGGATGCCAAGAACTTGCTCGCTCGAGAACTACACCTACAACATGAGGAACACCCTGAAGGATGAGAAGGTTGCTAGGATATGGACCCTGCAGACATGTAGAAGATTGAGCTATTGACGAGACAGTTCGAGACCTTCCAAATATATTGCGATTTACGGTTCTGGCCAATTGTAAAGTTCCAACAATCACTGTATCAGTTTTTGTTTGAATTGTCAGTGAAAAGGAGCACAAGCCCAATGTACCATTCTATCAAGGTATCACCGGTGAGAATGCATCTTCGAACCTTGCTGCCTCATTTGATACAGAAGTAAATAAAAATTTTGGGTTGTGTGGATCTACTAATGCCAGTGGTCTTGAATTGAGGCAATCCACAGGGCAACAATTGACAACTACAGTTGCAGATGATAAACAATCACCGGAAGAAGCATCCTCGGGCCATTACAGCTAAGGTAATAGGCTTGACGACTCCACTCCCAATGCAGAAACGGTTTATGCAGCAAGAAGAGCAGCGTTACTAGTGATCTTATTGTTGGATTGTTGACTTGATTGTCTCCTAATTTCATCCAATTATAGTATGTTCTCTGTTAAACATGTTTGATGATCTTATTGTAATTGTAAGCACATGAGTGCGAGCAATGTTTGTTCAAATTTTATAATTTCTAGTGAAATAAAAATCTCTTTTACCCACTTTCTTAATTGTATTACCCTGCTTTTATGGCTTGCCTACGTTTACTCCAAACTGGTTTGAGGTGCTGCGTCTCAAGTTAGTCTTACTTTCTTTCTCCAAAAACCTGCTTATGCTTTAGGCTTAAACGTCATGTGGTATTAATTAAGCGCACGGATTGTGAACTCTTATAATCTGAGATCAAAATGTTTAAGCTTCGTATTCACAGACGATTAATTAGAGACAAGAAAATATTTGTTTTCTGTGAATTAAAAAGAAAATCTACTAGCAAGTTGTGTATAAAGAGCAGCTCCATTATTTTGTCATCAAATTAACAAATTTGAGTAAACTTACTGGAAAATCAGACTCAGATAATTCATAATTTCATACATACATAATCATCGGAAACAAAGCATACTAAAGCCGACAGAATTTGTATACAGATGTTCAGAACCAAGTTGTACTGGTAGTGGAAAATTACACAGAACTATTACAATATCTGTTAAACAATGTTAATAGGTGGCACGAACTGATCTTCCAAAAAACAACTATCCAAGTAGCTGCTGCCGTAAAATGATTGGTCCAGCACTTTCTCGCTGGCATTTGGATGATAAGCTTCTTGTACTCCTTCTCCATCCGCAGCGATCCATTCGTTGTAGAAACTTGGATTCAACGGTTCCTCTTCATGGGTTTCAAGCAAATATTTCTCTAATAAACTTGGATCCCAATCATTCTCTTCTACACCTCCAACTGCAGCAATTCCAGAATCTGCTGGCAGAAGTAATTCTTGATCATCATCACTTTCGATCTCTTCGTCTGCTTGCATCTTCTTCTTCCTCTTGTTCGAAGTGGTCATTTGATCCTCTGATGATGATGAAGTCGGAAATTTTCTCTTGTTAATGCTGTTCTTCTTCAAAGCGGCCACTTGATCATCCTCTGATGATGATGAAGTCGGGCACTTTCTCTTGTTAATGTCGGACGTCTTCCTCAATCGACAAAGCACGTAATCAAAATCGTAACTTGTATGGCTCTTGCGCTTCCTTGGGGCCGCAAAGAGACTGTATTCGTCTAGTAACCACGCGCCATGGTCCTCTGAGCATACATTCTTGTAGCAGAAGGTCCTTTTTAGTCCAATGCAGGTAGAAGTTCCGTCAGTTCCCTCAACCCATGCAGGGACTGCCTTGCCGTCCCATTTACCTCCGTTTCTTCCCATCTTCCGAACGATGTTCGAACCCTTGGGGGTTTTCTTCGTGAGCTCAGAGAAGAAATACAAGGCGGGTTGATCAGCAGCAGTAAGTTGAAGTGCTCCTCCTCCAAAGGCCTCCCAAATCTCAGAGGGTTCTGAGTGGTTGCCAAAGAGGTTGCACTTGTGCATGAAGGTGTGGTGCGGCGGTGGGGGCAGTAGCCGTGGGGTCTCCACCAAAAAGTAGCGGAGGAAGCGACCTGATGAGTTCCTGATCGGTGGGTTTGAAGCGGAAACAACTCGGTACAAGGGAATGATTGATCTCCATTAACAACACACGAGAAGATGAAGTGCAGCAGCCGATCGAGTGGTGAACTAGGTTTCTGTGCGTTGTTGTTGATGGGACAGACAAAAGCAAGAGAGCAAAGAGTGAGTGGTATTATTTATAGATATAGAGAGGGGGAGTGCCAATGGGGCGGTGAGGGTATTGGTTTAGGGTTAATTAGTTGCTTGGAGGGTAAGTAAGAAATAGAAACCCTAAATTAGCCTATCCTGATTGTATTAGGAAATAGAGAAATCTCATTTTTAGTAGGACTCTGACTCTTTTCATTTATGTTAAATTTCATTGCCGTTAATCATTTAACCACGCGTTTAATTTGGAAACAATTAGATCCAAATTTTTCTCTGTTTTTCCTTTTTTTGCTATTAATTTTTCAAATTCCAAATTGTAAAAAACAATGCAGACACTTGCTAAATTGGAAAAAATGGAATAATTAAAATTAAACCACTCCATGGAATTTTGCTTGGAGAAAAACCGAAGGGAAATATTAAAGAATTTCTAGTTAAATGGAAGTTTAATCCTTCGTGGAGTATGATAAATAATGTTATGCTGTACATTAGTAATTGTTTTTTTATGGTATATATTAGTGAGTGGTCTAAATCTTGCACATAGAGATTATGCAATAAAAACCGGTGTGAGTTCTTAGGTAATTAGGAAACTCTATTTGGTAATTAGTAAAACCATACTGCGAATAACCTAACTACCAAGTCTTTATCGCTCAACCTTAAACGTCAGATCGTATAACATTTTGCTGCGAATTTGTTTTATATTCATTGTTAAACTCGAAAAAGTTAAATTTTTGCTAAATTCAAACATTAAAATGAAAATTGAATAAACTACAAAAGTATTTAAGAAACAAAAGGGAATAAGCTTTGGAAAAAAATTTAACCTTTGTAAATTGGCTATAAAAAATGGTCAACTCCTTTTTGTTTTCTTTAAAAAGAAAAGCACAATACACAATAAGAGGCTCAACTTTAAGCCCAACTCTAATGCGGTTGAAAACAATCTTATTATAGTTTTGTTTTTTTTTTAATAGATATTTCCTGCATTTTGTATATGAAGTCTCATTCGAAGCTTTAGAGAAAGCTACCATTGAGATATTGGGACCTTATGGTATCTTGTACACATGCCAATCCTTTGTCAAGAATTTCACAATATCTCATGGGCATTAAGTCTTCTAAAAAGAAAACTTTGTTGCTGATGTCTTCACTAATTCAGGATATGATGTTAGTACTCGTGATAGAGAATTCTCTTATCTAATATCATTTACTTGTACAAAATTTTTTTTTCCGTGTATGATGCAAGAGTTAACGTCCTTAACCATTTTAACGGCACAATCTCCTTTACTGCTAAACATCCTCGTCTGTACAAGTTGGTGTTCGTAGCATTGTACTCTTTTTCTAAATCGTTGTCCTATAAAACTCTCACAAACTGAAGTGAAGCTAGAAAATCTCCAGCATCCTTTGACTAGGAAAGAGGCAGAACCTAGTTATATATGGGCCTAAAACAGAAACAAATGTAAAGCAGCCCATTACCCATTCCTGTGGGCCTTAAAACCAGAAACATAACTTTTGAAAAATCTTAATTACCCTCCACGAATTCGGGAGAAAAATCTATTTTCTTTCTTTTTTACTAAATTAATAAATAAATAAATAAAACCCTAAATCCCAATTCTTTGGAACCCTAATTACCCAATCACCTAATTTATATTGTATCCCAACTGGACTTTTCCCTGTCGTTGACTATTTCAATCCACACCCTCCCCTTCAGCTCTCAGACACTATTAAATAATTTAAATCCAAAAGATGCAACCTTCAACCTCTCTTCTTTGATTCAGAAACCCCAGTTTATGAAGATAAAATCCCAATCCACTCCAACCCAACACCGAATCAATCAAATCATCCGAATCCGACCCGAACCCATCTCCAAAACCCAACTTCTCGACGACCCATCTCGCCGCCCGCCGCCCGCTCCCTCCCCATGGCCACCGACGCCACCGCCAAGTTCCAAAACCAGGACTTTCACCCGGTTCCGAAGCCCCCGGATTACCTCCCAACCCCCACAGTCTCGCCCCACGACGGTCTCCACTTTTGGCAGTTCATGATCGCCGGTTCAATTGCTGGCATGGTCGAACACATGGCTATGTTCCCGGTGGACACCGTTAAAACCCATATGCAAGCTCTCGGGTCGTGCCCGATTAAGTCCGTCGGACTCCGGCAGGCCCTTCGGTCAATTTTGAAGTCCGAGGGCCCTGCCGGGCTCTACCGCGGGATTGGAGCTATGGGACTCGGCGCGGGCCCGGCACACGCCGTCTACTTCTCGGTGTACGAGACGAGCAAGAAGTTTTTCTCGGGCGGGAACCCGAACAACCCGGTTGCCCACGCGATCTCCGGCGTGTTCGCAACGGTGGCGAGTGACGCTGTTTTTACCCCAATGGATATGGTGAAGCAGCGGTTGCAGCTGGGGACTAGTTTGCACAGCCCGTACAAGGGGGTGTGGGATTGTGTGCGGAAGGTGTTCAAGGAAGATGGGTTTAGGGCGTTTTACGCTTCCTACAGGACGACTGTGGTGATGAATGCGCCGTACACGGCGGTGCATTTCGCGACGTACGAGGCGGCGAAGAGGGCTTTGAATGAGATTTCGCCCGAGCATGCGGATGACGAGCGGTTGATTGTTCATGCCACTGCTGGTGCTGCAGCTGGGGGGTTGGCTGCGGTGGTCACTACGCCGCTTGATGTGGTGAAAACGCAATTACAGTGTCAGGTATAGTAACTTCTTGCTTTCCCATACTCAGATTAACTTATTGGTGTTAGTTTAGTTTGATTTAAATACAGTCTGATGCAACTAATAACCTTTCAATTTTGTCATACAATTAATCACTTTAATACCGCTTAGTTACACGTCCACGCTACTAGGTTCAACGATGCAATTGATACCCTTTAGTTCTAGACACTGATTGTTCTACCCTGTAATCTTTCCGATTCCCGGCATCTACTAATGATGTTGCATAGCGATAAGGTGATAATTCTGTCTGTTGGTTTCCGCAAAGTTTGTCTCCGATGGAATCCTAGGTTATTGTTACTTGGACTGGCTGTTTGTGCTTGTGTTTTTCGTTTTCTTATGTAAAGAAATAATATGGGGTAGAGAGACCAAAAAAAAAATCGATAGGTTTTTTTTGCGTTTGACAGAGTAATGGAGCAGAAAGAAGTAATAAGTGTGGTACTTGGTTTTTGTAAGTGTCGTCCTTCTTTTCTGTGGGTCAGTGATTGTCTCTCTTGAAAGCGGGATTCTGTGTCATACTCAAGTTTAGTTAGTCTGGTTGGACAATCTATTAAGAGTCGGAATGTAAGTTTTTATGTAAGCAGATTGGTGTGGGACTAGATCCTCTGCTAGAGTAACAAACAATCCATCTTTCTCGCTCTCGCTCTTTCTCCCATTCAATCATGAGGGGCAGTTCTGGTCTACGATTTATGGGTGGTCATTTTAGTGCTTTGTCGTAGGATAAGGAAGGTCCTCGCTCAGGACTTTACGAATGACTGATAAACCATAGGATTTAGTTGTAATGAAATTACTATGTCCGATGATATATATACCTGGTTGTAATGGTATTACTATATCCGATGATTCACACACCTTTAGTTATAATGGTATTACTAGGCATTGGATGATTTGAGTGAAGGTTTAAATACTCATCTGAATGCAAACCTGCCTGAAGCTTTGCTGCTTTTCTTAACATGGATTTGTTGTACAGGGTATTTGTGGATGTGACAGATTTAAAAGTGGTTCGATTACTGATGTTATTCAAACAATTGTGAGAAAGGATGGGTACAAAGGTCTTCTTAGGGGATGGGCTCCAAGAATGCTTTTCCATGCCCCCGCTGCTGCCATCTGCTGGTCCACATATGAAGCCTCAAAAACCTTCTTCCAAGATCTCAATGGCAGTCGTAACAGCGGAACTATAACCTGAAGAGACTTTCAAAGACAAATGAGATTTTTTTCGTTTCAATTGCGATACATCTTCAGCCTGTATAACTGACGATCGGAGTTGCTTCACACGAAGGATAGTAAGCAAGTCAATCAGAAGTTTTCAGACCTGACTCCTGTCTATTTAATGGGCAGTAGTAGTCGGTAAGTTGGAATCATTGGTGTGGGTTAAATTTATTTGTACTTTTACCATTGTTGTTTGTTTCAAGTAGGTTTTTTTTCCCGTCTCGGATTTTGTTCTAATAAACGTAGAAATCAAATGTTTTTGTTCATTCGTCAGATTCTGTGTTACATGAATGAGACCCTTTGGAATCCCTTTCATCATTGGGTTTCTTGGTGATGTATGAATCAATCAATCAGTCATAAAGTTTTGAATTATATTCCATCTCTCGCAAATAATTTTCGCGCATGTTGTTGATTTCTGCTTCGGTACCTAGGATTTATCTTGCAAAATAACGGAGAGTTGGATGGAGACCTCAATCATAGAATACAAGCTGGATGGATGAAGTGGAAGAATGCATTTGGCGTGTTGTGTGATCGTCGTATGCCACTGAAGCTCAAGAGAAAATTTTATAGGATGGCAATAAGGCCGGCAATGCTTTATGGCACGGAATGTTGGGCGATGAAGCATCAACACGTACATAAAATGGGTGTAGCACACGAGAAAGGATAAGATTATGAATGAGGATATCTGTAGTAAAGTAGGAGTAGCTGAAATTGAAGGAAATATGAGAGAATCAGTTACGGTGGTTTGAACATGTGAAACAAAGGCCTACTGACGCGCCGGTTAGAAGATGCGATTACGAGACAAAGGTTCAGGGCCAAAGGAAGGGGTAGAGAAAGACATAAGAAGACTTTGGAAGAGACTCTAAGAGTACTTGGATTTAATTGAAGATGTGACACAGAATCGAGCACAATAACGTTCTAAGATTCATATGGCTGACCCCATTTGGTGGGAAGAGGCTTTGTTGTTGTTGTTGATTTCTGCTTTGTATTAGAGCCGTGTTGGTCTTGCGTTTCAAGACACATTCTCCTTAGAAATTCAAGTTTTTCTCGGAAAAGTAGTTTTAACTCTTTAAATAACCCAGAAGTACTTTTGAGTATTTGAAGCTTCTAGTCATTTGAAAAGTATTTCCAAACAAACGTTGACACAAAAGTTTCACTTGGACTGTTGATCTTTATTTTGAAGAATCCATGGCATTGTACTCTTAAAACAGATAAGAAATTCAGACAACAGCTAGAACTTAATAGCAGTGAGGACTTTTGTACACAAATATGAAGAGATGACTTTCAATCAGTTGCCGTAAAACCGGATGAAAATTGCCGAAAAACTATAGCCCGGCTACCCGGAAAAGGGAATGTTTGTATTTGAAGTTTAAATCTCTTGGAGAAGACTAAAATGCTTCATAAGCTTACAACCTGACCAACAATCACAGTGATATCATCTGGCTTTCCACCTGCACAACAGAAAACTCAGGTCAGCCAAGAGATCAACGAATAACGGGGCCTTGTCGTCATAGTATAAAATCGGATAGGCCGTGCCTGTAAGCTTCATTCCGAGAATCTTCTTCCACAAGGGAGGCTCGAAACCCTGAAAGGTGTTACGGAGGAAGGAAATCAATACGTAATTATGTTTTCGTTGAGGAAGAGTATTATGATTTCGAAGTTGGTTAAGTCAGATCGATGATTGTACCCTTGATCTAGCCTCCATGGAGTAGGGAGAATCGAAGTTTGAATCCAACGAATGATTGTTTGCCAAATTAGCTAATGCCTTTGCTAACATTAAGATCAATTTCAGTTAGCAATAACATAAATCCTGAGCTGGATTAGTTACTATTTAATTCCCCATCACGTTTGTTTGATTTCGAAAACACATACCAGCCTCAGCAACGTCTCTGTATCCGGCCACTGTCAAAGCAATTTCATGGTCGAAAACATTGTCAAAAAGTCCGTCTGAGCCCATAACTATGGTGTCTCCTTCCATCAACTCAACATTGGAAACCTGCAATCGGAGTGGAGCACTTGAAAGTCTTACGACCGTTGTGTTTCAATGCAGAAAGCAACTAGAGGAGATATAAAAACCCGCGAGACATTTGTGCACGTGTGTGTGCAGTTGATTCGAAGCAGGACTCTTGGACTGAAAGTTTAGAAAGACTAGAAATGCAGACAGTAATTGCGTAAGGTTGGATCAGTGTAAATACCATCGCATCCTGATACGTTTGGCCAACAATCTCTGAACTAAGTTGGTATGGACAATCGAAATAGTGTTCTTGTGGAGATGTGGAAAATTTGATTTTACCTGCAAGTCAGGTCACAGCTACATGTCACTTGAAAATAAACTGAGAGTTGATCAGAACTGGTGCAAAGAAAGCCTGAACTATTACCTTCACGAATAACCCTTAATCCGCAATCGCCAACATTCGCGATTTTCAGAATCCCGTCCCTCTCCAGCATGGCAATCATTCTAATCAGCAAAGGAAAGCTAAAGTAAGAATCTCTTGAACAAATATGGCAACTATAGCGAAGTTCTCTTGAACGAAATGATGATCTTACACCGTAGCAGAACCTATCGAAGAGGTATAAGCATGTGCTTTTCCTATCAGAATTTGAGGATCGTTGTTCACCTGCTACGTAGGAGACATTCATGGTTCTTAGCAAACACGAAATATGCAGAGACTCGAAAATCTACTTAACAATAGTGAAAATGCTACTTGGTTTAGAGAGAAACTACCACCACATCTCCCACAAAATTTGAGGCATTGGCCATCAATTCTTTCGGGAACAATGAAGGATCTACATCCTGTTCAGCCCAACTGCCAAGCCAAATAACAAGAAGATCACAAATTCCGAAATCAAGAAACGACTTACAGCATCGGTACAGAAAAACATCTGAATTATGTGTCCACTCCTTTGAGTTTATTAAACCAGTTTCCGTGGATTCCTTGTTCTTTTTTTTTTTTTACTCGTAAAACGCTGTTTGAGAACTTTACCCGGATACACCATCAGCAACAGCAAGAACTCCTCCATTGTAGCTGCTCACGAAGAAAGCATCTTCCCCGCCTTTTTCAATCTTTTTCACGCACACAGACTTGCAAATGTTAAAAAAAAAAAAAAGGGAGAAATTTCTTAAAGAAACTTGATGCTTACCACAAATAAACTTATAAAGCATGAGTTGACATGCGTGCCTTATTTGGTGTCTATGATTGAAATGAATTTGGTAACTAGACTAGACTCGATGTACGTTTGAAGGTAGAAGATAGATTAGACAAGAAGGCAGGCTTACCCCTTACAATCACCACAAAAACAGTAGAATTGTGAGGGATAAGTTTCCTTCATGACGAATCCATTTCTGCCTTCAAAGTAAGTAAAATTTGGAAGTAGAACCATTCCATACTTCAATCCAATCCAATCCTAGACACCAAGCGAGGCCACATGTTTTGCGAGCTTGCACTAACCTTGTTGGGATGTGGAATAAGATAAGTTCCAACAGAGAAACACAGCTCTGGCCTACATAATTTTATCAGAAGCTCAAACAGTTAACTCGAAGAATTTGACTGAAACGATAAGGAAAATCTCGGGATTGGGCTCACCGAAATGGTTTGAGTTCCGACGAAGCAGCACAGCAGGATAGCAATCTTTTCCTCTTCCAAGTTTCATCAGTGAGTGATAGAGCTGAGGAAATGGAGTGAATGAGAGGGTGAGACTTCGGAATTGAGGCCCGGAATATGGGAACTGCCATTTTCCCGCTCCCCCTCCCTCCCTCACTCACCTGCCAGGCAAGCTTGTAGGAGAGCTCAAATGTGTGGCTTAAAGTTGATACTTCAGCCACAACCACAAAGCTTCTTTATTTGCACTTCCACAAGTGAGCAATCAGGGCCCATATGTGGCTGTTTCTAGTAAGCGCTTCTCAGCAAAAGTGCTTTTATGAACTTACCTCTCCAATTAAAATCCAAGTGGAAAAGAAATTACTTTTTATAGGACAATACATGTATCCGTCGTGTAGGTGCATCTCATTGTCCATCTAGTTGTGATTAATGTATTTTTTAAATGTATACGTATTATTATCTTTTCTTTGCTGGGTATAAATTTTAAAAGCATAATTGTTCTTATGTCATTTGTCATTTAAAAATCATGTCTAGCAAAAATACAAAATAATAATAATAATAATTTGAAGATTTTTGGTCATTCTTATGTATTAGGTAAATAAAGGATCATTGTGAGGATACTAGTTATTATCAAAACCGTTTATTTGTTTCATACTTCTTTCACGAAGTATTGAAAGTGTTTTTTCAGGATTTACTTGCATTTTTATTAAGGATTGGTTCTAAAAATATTTTTACCAAAAATGCGTTTAATCGTACTAAAAACACTTCCAAACGAATCCACGATAAAAGGAATTGGTTACAAAATTTCAGTCATAGACTAAAAGCCTTGGTTATAAAAGAACACACCGAGAAAGCAGCTAAAACAATTATATTTGAAGACTTTTCCTCTCAAATTCCAACAAGGCACCAGTGGTCTAGTGGTAGAATAGTACCCTGCCACGGTACAGACCCGGGTTCGATTCCCGGCTGGTGCATCCCTTTTTCTTTTTTCTTTTTTCTTTTGTTCTTTACCTATATAAAAGGGATGTGATAACCGGACGCATTTTTTTACTTCTCACACATCTTTTTAATTTTTGATCATCGGATCGAATGAATTAAAGAAGATTAACAGACAAAAATTAACAAAGAGTGTGAGAAGTAAAAAGGGGTGTGTGGATAGCACACCCCATATAAAAATGTATAGAGTAAACTGTAGCAATGGTCCCTCAACTTTAATCAAATTGAAGTAATGATCCCTCAACTTATCAAAATGTGTAGTTATGACCATTTTCGTCAATTTCGTCAGAATTTTGTCAAAATAAGTTATGTTGAAATGACCATTACTACAATTAAGGTCCTTCAACTCATGAAAATATGTAGCTATGATTCTTAAATGGATAATTGGTACAATTTACTCCAAATGTATATATAGAGTTTCCCCAAAACGAGCCTCTCACACTTGTCGGGTGTTTGGTTCTCTCCACCACTGAAACGACGATGAACGCCGCAGCTCCTCCTGATTTCATCCAAGGTTTCGTATTTCCCACATTTCTCTTCCTTTTTTTTTCAATTTTCTCTACTCATCGATTATTGATATGTGCATAGTAATTTCAGTCGCAGACTACCAGAACGGAAGCGATTCCGACACCAACATCGACGACGATGATGCAGCCGCCGCCGAGTTCTACCAGCCAGTCTCCGCCGTCGATTTCGAAGATGACGAAGACCAGATCGGAAACGACGCCGCTACGATCCACTCCCAGCTGCACTCCAACGGCGTCACTGTCAATCAGGTCGAGGGGGGAATCTCGTTTCTCCAGCTAAACGACGACGTCGGGCGCAATGATCACTTGAACAGCAGTAGGGATGGCGAAGCGGAAGAAGAAGAAGTGGAGGAGGAGGAGGAGGAGGCTTCCGATTCGGCGATCATGAGGGCGTTCAGAGAAGACGAGAGTCGCAGAAACGCGCCGCTGACAGGCGGAGAACGCGACGAGGGTCAGAGAGGCCATGCGTGGAATTTCCTTCGCCGGAACTCCTCCGCATTGGGCGGGCCTGATCGCCGAGAACAACTGGATGGACCGCCTTCGCGGGCTCGGACAATCTTCGTCCCGGAGCTAAAACAGTTTAATTGTATTCTCTCTTTTTTATCTGATTGGAGTGGACTGCAAATTTTCAAATATGTTCGGGTGTAAAATATAATTTCAATAATATTAATATCCAGCAATTCACATAATTATGCACTACTAATTCTGATTAATTAAAAAGAAGGTTACAATTAGGAAGCAACAAACTTTATTATACCAAAAACAGGATTTCTAATCGCCTAACATAACTCTAAACAGTAGTAAATTCCGGGAAAGTTGGGAAGTAGAACCGTGACTGCTGCCCCTGCTCTCCGCTGCCGCCAACAGCCGCCAGGTGCCGCCATTAGCAAATGTATTACAATAAATGGTAACGGGATGCTGCCGGTGTAGAAGTGCAGTGGCGATGGCCTTTCTCAAGCGGCAATGTTCTCAATGTCTGCACTTCTCTCCATTCTCTTCACAATGCCGGCTATAACCTGATACATGATCCAACCACAAACTTAGAAGCGAAGAAATTGAGCACCCTACGATGAAACTGAAATTCTATTGGTGTTCTGTATGGTCTTGTGTACCTTTCCGGGACCCAATTCGTAACTCTTCTTCAGCCCCTTGCTGAGCAGAGTCTTGACGGTTGTTTCCCATTGAACAGGAGAAGTTACCTGTCAATTTGAGTTTAGGTCTAGATCTGTAATCTTGCTCGTGTGACGTGATAGGGAGGAGAAAGTTCTAGATAGCTTACCTGACGAGCCAATATCTTCTTAATTGTCTCAGGATCTGAATGTGGCTGTGCGTCAACGTTGGAGATAACTGGTATTCTTGGTGTTCTGATCTGTGTTTCTGCCAACTTAGCTTCCAATCTTGACACGGCTGGTTCCATAAAACTAGTGTGGAAAGCGCCAGCAACAGCTAGACGCACCTGTGCGTAATGGAACAGGGGAGAAGTGGGTTCGTCATCAATCGTTAATAGAAGAAGGATGGAACTGCATCTAAGTAGGAAATGAAGAACGGTACCGTCATTCGGGCCTTGAATGACTTTGCCTTAGCCTCTACTGCTTCAATTCCTTTCACACCACCAGAAACAGCATAATTTCCCTACCACAACAAAATCGTGCTGTGGTCAAAACTACGTTAAAAAGCGCTTAAGATGCAATCACCTTAGGGTTACTAAGTTGAAGTTCTTACAGTGCATAGATAATTTGCAATCTGAACTTTGTCAGCATCATCAACTTCTGCATTGGCTGCATCACACAACTGTTGCACCTTGTCTGAGTCCAACCCGATGACACTGACCATGGCACTTTTGGCAGCATCGGCAGCTGCCTGAAGTAAGTTGTAAAAAGGAAGCATGTTAGTGTAACAGACTATGAGCCTAGTCCCTCCAGTAACATGAACCGACACACAACCAAAAATTTACCTGCATAGCTTCTCCCCTCAGTTTGACCAGCTTGAGCCCATCCTCAAAGCTTACATATTGAATCAAGTCAACAAAAAAAGGAAAGATTAGTACAATAAGATAGCCACCACTGAACATCAGACAAATGTACTAAATCTGCTTTCATGTATTTACGACTACATTAACAATAATCTCCTATCTTAAACCAAGTACTAGGTGAACAATGAAGGTGATGCTTCCTCTCCCTCATATTACAAACACGGAAATGCGGCATAAAAGTTAAATTCATGTATAAACTCTTCCTCGCACCCCCATAACAGGAGATTGCAAAATTAAACAGATTTTTCAGTTAGGTATGTATTCGTCAATACAATTGCAATTACAGCATATGCTGCTCAGTTGGATGACTCACCTGAATGACTCAGCAAATGCTAGGGCAGTATATTCTCCCAAACTTAGGCCGCACGTGACATCAACTGAATCAATGATCAGCTGACCTCCATCACGTGCACGTAGTAACTCAACAGCAGCTAGACTTGTGACGTAAATAGCAGGCTGCAAATTAGTAGTGGTGCATACTTATCAATGAGTCACAAGAAAAACTCATTCTAGAACATTTGACATAGAAGAGCATAAATGTTGTATTCCGACCCCGAAAATCACTGACTATAAGGTGCACATTCAAAACATTTCATGGAGGAACAACACTCCTATTTCTGTGGAACTAAACTACCGAACAAGCAATACAGCACATACCTGGCTTATAACAGTTGAATCTAGCTTCTCTTTTGGTCCATTGATACAAACATCCAAAAGATCAAACCTGCACACAACGTAGACATTAAATCACTCCCAAAAGCCAATTTTCCGTTAAATGAAAGAAGATAACTACATCTGATTCTGAGCTAAGCTAAAATTAACAAACAACTCTATTTAAAGTTACCCTAAAATATCATTTGCTTTCTTGTATAACTCTGCTGCAGCAGGAACACTTTGAGCTTCCTTTCCCATTCCAACCGCCTGTGCACCCTGAGTTGCAAACACAGTAGAACATTACAATCTAACATAATGAAGCTCAACCCGAAATTCAAAGTCGCTATCTTTAGCACCATAACATGATGAATTTCCAATCAAACACATAGGGCTCGTTTGGGACTGCTTATGCAGGAAGTACTTCTACTGGTAAGCTCTTTTGTAACAAGTGAATATATTAAAAGCATGTCAAGAAGTTTATCAAAAATCCAAGTGCTTACTAAAATACTTTCATGTCCACAAGCACTTTTGAGTTTTTCTGCAAAACATTGTTAAAAGCACTTTTGGCTCTTTTTTAAGTAACCAGTCCCTTCAACTATAGCCCAAATTGCAAACTTTTTACTTTTCATGTCAAATTAGCATTCAAATTTTGAATTCAATCCTAAAGTTTCATGGAGAAATTCAGAACTCTCTATCTTTAGCACCATAACATGATGAAACTCCAAACGAACAAACACGCATGGCCTGTCCGGGTAGGAAATACTTCTACTCATAAGCGCTTCTGCAAGAAGCACTTCTAGCAGAAACATGTCAAAATATATATATAATTCCAAGTCCTCCTTGCAAAAGCCCTGCACTAAAAAGTACTTTTATGATCCATAAGCACTTTTGAACTATTCAATTACTAACCCAAATTACAATTTTTCCAAAATTACAAAGTTTTCATATCAAACTAGCATTCAAAATTTGAATTCAATTCCCAAATTAGACTGACTATTGAGCAGCAAAGTAACGACATTGTTCACATTAAACAAATTAAATGGCAGCGGAGCAACGAACTCACTTGGCCAGGGAAGAGGAAAGCAGAGGAGGGCTTGTAATCGGCGAACAAGGCGTCGCTTTGCAGAGTCTGCGATCCGACGGAGGCGGCCGTGGAAACTCTAGATCGCCCGAGGTTTCGGACGCCGAGCTGGGCTCCGGCGCCATTCGGAGCCCCGAGAAGGAGGAGGAGTTGAGAGAAATGGAAGAGGGGAGGGCGATGTAGGCGGCCATGGTGGCGAGTGAGGTGCGTAGGATAAGAGGGTGGTGGAGGTTAAGCCTGAGGCAGGTGTGCATATAAGAAAGTGTAGGCGGATTGAGTGATATAGTGCGCAGAGGGCGTTGAGGTTAGCGGAGTTTACAAAGGTAGACGTTGGAGATGGCCATCAAAACCAAGAAAACAACCGTCCAACTGCTTTTTTTGTCTTGTTTTCGACATCAGAAATTTATTTAATTGTCGAATCACAATATCTTATATTTTTAACATTGCAATATCATATATCGTTTTATTAATTCATTGCTATATCAGACATTCAGTTAAATTTTATGTTAAGCTTGTTGTTAAATGATGAAGTGACAGGTGTGGGCCCACATCCTCAACTATTCAAATATTTTGCGCTCAGTTTTGAGTTAAATCTTCCTTTAGCTTCAAATATTCTATGTTTTTTCTTAAAGTCTGTCAAATACCAACCCAATGATTTAACATTTGCAATTACAATTCCCAACTCTTGGCACAGTTAAAAAAGAGTCTACAACAACAACCAAACCTTATCCCACCAAGTAAACCCACGACATGAATCTTAAACATCACCGTGCTCGATTTAGTAAATCTAAAAGTAAATTTATTAATAATGAAAATTACAATTACATCTTCATTCCATGGTAACTATATAGTATAAACTACATCTGCAGTTCCCGTTCAAATTGAATGAATAGTAAAAACCAAGTTCAACTAGATTAAATTAAAGTAAGAATCTTGAATGCTTTTGGGTATATATGATACAGTGGCATCTTCTCTCTATTCTTCTGCTATTCTGCTTCTGCTCTTAAGATGGTCAAAAAATGGCGTTACTCCTTTGTCGACGTTGAAGCTATTCTTCTTCTGTACAAACAATTCGAGCCATGGAAAGCAACTTGTTTGCTCATCTCTATATATAATCGACAACCGTCAATTCACTGGATGGATCCTTCTTGCTTCTTATAACTCTTGCTTTATTGTCTTTTATTTCTAGAACCTGTAAAACGTAGTTAAAATTACATTTTCAACGAACTTAATCCCCGTTAAATGTTCAAGAAATTAGCATCCGGCAGTGATGCATGAAAGTAGCTAAACTTAAGTTTACCTCGGGTCTTGAATTGAGAACTCCACTGGACATCCCCACGTCAATCCGCCATATGCTGCAGTCGTATTCACTGCAAAGAAGAATCCATAATTTAAGAACTGAATCTACAACAAAAGTACATTCGTTTGACATAAATGATCCGAACTGGACAGAAGAAAGCTTGGCATCGTACCAGTTTACCCCGGTAGGTTGAGGAGTATGCCCCACCACCATTCCCTTGGCACCAACTGCTTGTAGCGTCTGTTGAAGAACGTAATTTATCTGAAAGATGATTTCAATTTCAAAAGCCAAAGAAGTCAGTAGGAGACAACATTCATGGAGGACAAGAACTCAATCATGATTCCCAATCTCGCTAGAAGAATGACTGATTTATATGCTAGTGAATAATAATCAATCAGACTACCAAAACAATTGCAGAAAACCCCTATCGCTAGAACAATGATCGATTTATATGCTAGTGAATATTCTGAAACTAGTCCGGCTTTTCCCATTTCCAAGATAATCCCCTATCAGCTCCATAATTAAGCAATTTGAAACCAGTAGTCAAACACAGCAGCGATTCTTTTCATTTTAAGTCGCCCCAATTACCAAAACAACTGAATATGGAAAGGGAACCAAAATATAGCTATTTACTTGCCTGGTTAATCTGATAGTCATCTAAATCTGAAGTGTCTCTCGAGTACAATCGGTTCCAAACCACACTGTCATAGCCCCTGGTGGCTACAAAAGGTAAGTGAGGGTTGTCATCAATCTCAACGAGACCTCTCATCCAGTCAGATACTTCCCTGTTCATCCTCTCCACTCCGTACGTAACTGTGGAAGGAGCAATACTCCTATCAGGCGATGGAACAAGAAATATATACACTTCTCTAAAAGTTTGAATGGCACCAGAAAACCGCTTTGTTCAGATTGTAGTACTGTTTTTACCATGTTGAGGAACAAGACCACCGTGACAGAAGACCCAGTCATTAACCTTAAGAACAACAGCATGACGTGCTAACTCGCGTGCCAATGGACCCCCTGGCCTTAATAGGATTGATCTGGCAATCACACCTTTTTGCTTCTGTCCTAATGTTCGGAAAACATTATCAGAAGAAAAATTAAAAAGTAGTAATGGCCGAATGGGAAAAGAATAAAAAGTGAAACAGTGGATTCAGTACCCTCACTAGATTCCATGGATCCCAATAATTTTGGGGCATTTTCCTCTCTTCCTTCATCCTTTTAGAGACACCAACCCAGCTAACAAAAGCTTCTTCCCAGTCATCTCGATTGTCATCCAAGTATTCCAGGAAATCAAGACACTCATCAAATCCTCCAGTATCCACGTATCGGAAATCCCCTTCCACATTGATAGTCTCATGATTCCCATTGACCTACATCGTTACAGAGAAGACCATCAACAATATTAATTAGGAAACAATCTACATATAACTTTCTCAAATTTGCACCAGAGGGTAATGGATTCTCATCTTTCGAACCAACCTTCATGAAATCAGTGTATCAGAATGGTTAACACATTCTTCAACAATCAAATCGGGATGGAAAATACAGTGTAATTAAAGCATCAAATAAGTTTATCTAGCAGTGAGACATTCCAATTACTGCACAAACCTGAAAAACTGCTCCGCCTTCAGCTTTTGCCTGCATATCCAAAGATCTAAGCAAGGACAAAATCGCTATTTCATCTTCACCTCGATCAAGTATATCTCCAAGCTGAATCAACACCTAAGTAACACAAGGAAACAGCTTTATCCCCATGTTCTTCAAAAGTTACTAGCTTTCAAAACAGAAAGACAAAATTTGTGCCTGGTGAAGACAATAGCAAGAACCTTAAGTGTTCAGAATTATGTCAATGAAAGGTATACCGTTTCTCCACCAGTCCATACATCTTCACCATCAGAACTCAACACGCCAGCTGTCTCTAGTGCACATCTTGTTTGGCCAAGGTCTCCATGAAGATCCCCAACTGTATACACACAAATCACAAAGCCATAAATATATGTGAATAATGGTAAGTAAGTGCAATGGAAAGAAAGGTTGCTCCTTTGTGACCGAAAGGTCACAGGTTCAAGTCGTGGAAACAGCCTCTTTGCAAAAAAGCAAGGGTTTTGGAATGGTAAGGCTGCGTATGATAGACTTCTCCCCCACCCTTGCAAAGCGGGGAGCCTTGTAGGCTAGGGGTCGCCCCTTTTTTAATGCTATAATGGAAAGTAAGCCTGCAAGCGGAACCTGATATCGAAAACGCTAAAGATAGTGCTGATCACACCAGACATGTTAGCAAGAATGTGTTCATAATTTCAGATATTCAATTCCAACATTTGCATAGCTTCAAGCCAATACATACCAAATTACAATGGACAGTTAAAAACTCAAAATGTGCAGAATTACAACTGCTACCGCGAGTTTTGACACAGTGAAAAACACGGCTTAATGGATACACAAGCATCAAATCGTCAGGTATTCAGCAGAAACTAAAAAACTGGTCCTTTGACTAGTTAGCTAGGATTGATCATACAAATTCTAATGCATTCTACACTTTGAATATGCAAATTCAACCACAAAACTGAACAAAAATTAAATATTAATCCAACAACATAGAGCAGATACTGAGTCACTGACAAACCCAACTGCTAAAATCTTAAATTCAACTGAAACAGTTAAATAAACAACAACAAAGAAGAGAAATAAAACCAAATAAACATCTTTCATCACTAATAAATTAATATTCATACGAAAGTATATGTAAAACGGAAGACAAATGAAACGAACCGGCGACAATTCGGCGGCCGGGGGCGGAAACAAAGGTGGGCGGGCTGCCACTGACGACAATGGGCTTTAAAGCTTCTCCTCTGCTGCCATAACTATTAACATTCAGAGAGTTGGAAGACAAAGAAGAAGAAGAGGAAGAAGAAGGAGGAGGAAGAGGAGATTCTGAGAGTTTGCGGGGTTGGGAAGGCGGAGGAAGAGGCAGCGAGTTGAGACAGAGCGAAGCCATTGCTGTTGGGAAGAGCAGTGACTCAGGGGCCATTCATATTGGTCTGCTTTTTTTACTTTATTTTTGTTGGTATTTCTATGTAGGCTATGTATTTATTTGGGCTTCAAGGGACATGAAAAAGAAATCTCAGCCAAGTATTTGCCATTTGGTATATCTTCTGTCATATTGATTTTTAATTTTGCAAATTTGCAATTGTATTTTTCTTTTTAACAAACGTATTCTCAAAATCTTTCATGAAACTTTGTATAATATAACGCAAACAATTAATAGTGTGTTTACGTATTGATAATTAGAATAAATATAGGGAGTTGAATTTTGATTACAAAATGGTTTACTAACTTTGAATGAATCAAAAGAGTGGTGGAGCCCACACGAAATAAAGAATTAGACTCCCTAGATTGATGAAGTATTTGGATTCAAGAGGATGAGGAAATGGGGAATGCAAAATTTCAATCTGCCATTCAAATAGGTAAGTAATGTCAATCTCGAGGTTTCAATATCGTAAGTATCTTAGAAATCAAGTATTGAGATGTTATATATCGTAAGTATATTAGATATATGACCTCCCTTAAGTTATGTGTGGTCATTTACATGGTGCGGGCTGTATTTTAAACAATGCGCTTACTTTGGCCAAGTCAAGTTTTTTCCACACAATTTGAATCATGACGTTCTACATCTACCACCAGTGCAAAAGGTCGAGTAGTACTTATATGAACCTAATCATAGTAGAACTCGCCAAGTAGTAGTTGGTACTACAAGGAACAATATCTAAACATGAGGATGCTCCAAAATCATTTTGATTGCTCGTTCGAGAACTACAATATTCGGCTCTAGAACTAAATCATTTCCTTGTATATGAGAAGAACTTCCAAATTAATAGGAAGGAAGCTTAATCAAAATGAAACAAATTAGAATTTTTCTTGTATGATCGATCACTATAAATATCAACAACTTCAAATTGGATTAGTTTCTCTGCACCAAATAAGAGCTTGGGCCAAAAAAAACCTTACCTAAGTGGTTTAGGTATCACCAACAATGGTGAAGATTAAAAAAA